TTATTTTTGTTGATCTCCTGATTTATGCAGACCAGAGTGCACTATGTATGGTAGCATATCGAGAGGTCCACGGTCTAATGATCCATCTAGAACCAGTTGGATCTCACCAATGATCGGTCCCTGAGGTAAGTGGGGAGGTAGGTCTAGGTAGTGAGCAAGAAAAAGACAACGAGGTAGGGGGGACGCAGATAGGGGTGCCTCTGGTTCTACTTCAGACTCTTCTGACAATGAAGATCATTCATGGATGATGGAGAGCCAATTGACGTTAACTCCTCATAGTCTTCAGAGGATTCTAACTCCTCGGATGATGACAATACGCCCGATAACGCCAAATGCCTACCAACTCACATCGGTGCCATTCTTGAGATTACGGGATCTAGCACGGAGGTAGAATCGATCCATGATACTGTTATCATGGATCTTGGTCAAATTGTTTCAACAAACAGTCAGTGATATAAGGATGGATGAGGGTGAATTTGAAAATGACAAGAGAGTGAGTGATGGGACGGAGCGTGATATACGGACGAAAAAAACATCAAGATTGTTCCTAAACCACCATAAGCTGGGTAACTACATCTACTATCAGGTCCTATCCATTGGATCCGGTATTGAACAAGTCATAGTGGACCCAACTATGCAAATGCACACCCCTCCCATCCACTCTATCACCTCTCAACAGGTGTTAGTTTCATCAGATCACGAGGAGTTACCATATCTTTTATCGACCTCACTCAGAGAGTGTGGATATTGAAATAAATAGACCACTGTCCTAGTCTATGACATCGTTTGTATGTATATCGAGTTTAGAGCCTGATACACCTATTAGGACACATACACTTGGAGCATATGTTGCTCAACCTGCGGTTCTTAGTGAACTCGCCGGAACATCCAGAGTGATATCTTCTACAAATACTTGATGAGGACAAGATGGAAATCCTACCAGTGCCACACCATAGCCAACACTGAATGTAGGTCACATAGTTGATTCAACTATCGTATCAACAGGAAGGCTCAGTGCCCCTAGTGTTCCCTTATCCGAAACAGCTATGCAGATGTTGGCTGGTGCTTTAGCTGTCGTTCAAACCTCGATGCACAACCAAGTGAATGAACTAAAGCGACTACTGAAGGGAAAATTGGTCATGGAGCACGTGAGTCCAACTTCGCCGCCACATCGACCACCTACTCCTAAGCCTAGACAACCAGCTAAGTGCTCAATCGAAGAGCTGAAATCTCTATTATATGCTAAGCTGCTATCCAAGGCAGATAAAAGGAGGACAGGTGGAAGCTGATCTCATCGGCATGCTCAGTGCACAAACACAACCTAAGTAGGTCATGAGACCAGAGTTCCACGCATTTCAAGAAGAGGTTTGAGGCAGTTTTTGCAGTCTTACTACTCAACTGAATGACGTGGCAAACACCATCAGATCATCTTTTCAGACTTTGTCCGAGAGGATTCAGATCCTTGTGGATACATGTAAGAGTCAGGCAGGTGGGTCAAAAAGAAGACATGATGACGGGGATGAAAACCCTAATCATAATGAGGGGGAGAAACGACAAAGAACAATCATGTGACATCACTAGCCAAATCCGAAGACCGAGTCCTAATGCAGGACCATCTCAACAACAGGGTCAAGGTCATCGTCAACAATCCGTCACGGTGGAACCAGAGCCAATGGTTGAAAAGCCGGAGGCTGCTGAAGATCGAAGTGCTCAAACGTCTACTGCTGTTGCTAAGGTCCTATGCCCAATTATCGACATTGAATCCGATGAAGAAGGGCCTCAACCTCAGCAAATAAAGGAAGATTTAGACAACTTCACATTCTCTGACGATGAAATGCTCGAAGAAGGGGACTACGACCACATCAACGATCTCAACAATGCCTTGCCAAATTCACCTCAAAGAGATCGGTCGATTCCCTAACCTCTAACAACTCAGAGAACCGCGGGCCCGAGTAATCTAGCTGCAACACGTGTAGAAAGGTGGGAGGGAACAAGAATTAGAGTTCCATTCCTTGAAGATACAAAGTTCAAAGTCTTCGTCAGAAGAATATTGGAATTGGATCTAGTTCAAGTTCTCCAGATCACTCACCTCGACAGCATTGAAGTCATCAAGTATAAGACATGCTAAAGGCTAAGGCTCAACCGCTCGATTGTGTGGATAAAGAACATCTACACTGACAGAATCGTGAACATCCGTTTCGCAGTCTTCACCGTTCTCAGAACTGACAGCAAGGAATGGAAGTTCTCATAAGCTGACTTCAGGCATTTATCTGTGAAGATTTCGAGACGATGTACCTGGACATTTGTTAGTGGACTATCAGACCGGAAGACGTGCAAATAGCTCTAGAAGCTATCAAGTGTTTCATGCTCCATCAGATAATGCTCGGGTACGTATCGGACTTGCAGTTGGGCATCAAGAGCAATCAACCAAAGATAAACCTGTTGAAGCCGAAGCAGATTCTGGAAGACATAGAGTCCTTTCCCTTGTTCATGTTAATAGAGCAACCCGAGTTTGGCATTGTGTACTCCAACAACGTCGGACAAAAAAGTTCACGCGATTCAGCGAACTACCAGCCTACTCTAACGGAACCTTAAAGATAATCATTGAAGCTGTCAAACAAGATGGAGCTGGAAAGAAAAGGACTTGACAAGTTCAAGCCACACGACAAGAACTTGATGTTGAATGCCTTGGACCTGATTGGGAAGAAGCTAGAGTACCGAAGAATTATTCGCAGATTAGAAGTATAGTTGGCCACCGCCCGAGAAGACGAAGATTTGTCTAAAGCGGCTTTATTACAAAAGGGTGAGAATGTTAGGTTTTTATGTTGTTTGTAATACAGTAGAAAGACCAAATATGTAAATACCTTCAAGGTATATATATATATATATATATATATATAGCTTCCTAGCCACTAGAGTAGGTCAGCTCTTTATTGTATTATCAGCTTATTATTGAGAAGCACCGCTAAAGGCAAAACCAGTATTTTTATATTCCATATTTTGAATCAATAGACAAGCCGACTGATTTGCTATTTCAATTGTGTTAAGTTATATTATTGTTTCTCGTAATCATTCGGGTAAACAACAAGGTTCTTTTTTGTTTTTTCGTATTTTTTTATATATTATTATGGCTTATTAAATCAAATATTAATGATTTTAATTGTTCACCAAAAGCGGGAATTCTTTAACTACAAGTTGAAGGTGAGCAAGATTTGGAATTCAATTTGATGACGAAAATAAACAGTGAAGATTACATGGAAGATAATTTCTTTATAAGATTCAAATCCACTCTAATATGTTTTTGGCATATGATATATTGATATTAGAATTTTAGATTAGCGATATATGGATTAAGAAACCATTAATAAAATATTATTTTTGTTATGATCTCTTGATATCATTTTTATGAACTTTGTATATTTGATTTCAAATTATGAATGCACGTTTTTTCTTTTGTTTATGGTTTTATATGGAATTAATTTATTTAAGCATTAGTGTTCAATATAGTGGCTCGCATAAACATTTGTATAATGCTATATATAAAGAATTGTTGCCTTAAGTCGCGCCTTGAAAAACTATGACCTCGCCATAATTCGTATGGCTAGAGGCTTGACCTCACCGCCACACCACACCTCACCTCACTTCATGGAAAACCTTGGTTCATTTTGATGCCCTTTCGATTTACTTGTTGATTTGGGTTCTTGGAACATTCAATTCACTTCTTAAACGAGATCTGGATATTATTTAAATGTGGGTTTTGGTTTGTTTTCAGATTTGCACTTTTAGCTCATTATATTAGATTAGGCTTCTTATTTGAATCCGTGTTTTGACTTGTTAGATCGAAGCTTCAGATTTGGGTTTTCAGATCTTGTCTGGGTCTTATGCTCGTTAAATTAGATTTGGTTTTTTGTTTCTGGGTTTTGGTTCATATTTGGGTTTGCCCGAGATGATGTCCGGGAGGGGGAGTGCTAACGAGGTCATCTGACTGTGAGGGTTACATCAACATGTTGTATTACACATGCTTAAAGCGTGGATACATTCTAGATTTATTTTAAAAAGGTAGAAAAGGAAAAAGATCTGCTAAAACAAAAAAAATAATAAAAAAATTAATATACCCTCAATCTAACTGAATTTTTTTAACAAAATTAACAAGATGAATCGAATCTCAAACAATACAACAATCATAACTATTGAATCCGAAATAAAATTACAACCAATGATCTATGCTGTTAAAATCGCGATATATCGGCGATATATCGGATATCGCTCCAAAAAAAAAAATTGGAACTCAAATATCGGTCAAAATATCGGGAACGATATTATCGGTGATATTTTCCGATATTTTCCGATTTTTAGCGATATTTTCCGATATTTAGCGATTTTTAGCGATATTTAGCGATTTTTTGGGCTGATAACTTAAATTAGGTCTGAATCTTTCCACAACGTCTTCTTCTTCTTCACGTTCAACTTCAGTCTCGACTTCTTCACGTTCAACTTCAGTCTCGACTTCTTCACGTTCAACTTCAGTCTCAACTTTTTCTTCACAAATCACACTTCGACTTCAACTTCAGTCTTCAGACTTCGACTTCAAGTCTCGACTTCTTCTTCACACTTCAGTCTCGACTTCTTCTTCACACTTCAGTCTCGACTTCTTCTTCACACTTCAGTCTCGACTTCTTCAGTCTTCAGTTTTCAGTCTCGACTTTTCTTCACACTTCGACTTCAACTTCAGTCTTCAGACTTCTAAACTCTAATTAATGCATATTATATATATAATTCTAAGAAATATTATGTTAACCGCTATTTTCGATATATCACCGATATAACCGATATATCGAATATCGGTCCTGACCGATATTTCGTATTCTGACCGATATAACAGCATAGCCAATGATACAAATGTAATTATTTTAAACTCGAAACAAGTAGGAAACAAAGTGGCAATTGAAAAGGAAATAAAGATGGTGGCAAGCAAGTTCCATTGTAGGCCGTTTTGAGATCGACGCAATTCCGATAGTTGCTGTTGGGGATACAGCGCAACACCACTGGACTAGACGCCGCTATTAACATCGAATCTTGTTACTTGTTAGCACCCACGCGATTTCCTCTACATTTCCAAAGATCACCGAATCCTATCTTTGTATGCCATCATCGTCTTCATTCACCCCAATACCCCCGTATTAATCGGCAAAAGGTTAGCCATTGTTGTCATCTACATTCCTTTGATCTTTAATCACCACATCATGGTTGTATTGATCCCTCTATGTGACGTAGGTTACCGTTTTTGGGAGTTAGGGTTTTATTTACGTGCACTTTGTCAAAATTGAGCAACTAATTCAATTGCGTTGCAGAAAAACAACTATCATATGTACAAAACCCTAGGATTCTGTGTATACACGTTTAATTTAAGGTTTGTTATTAGGCAAATTGCCTGTCATTTAAGTTAGGGATATGATGTTGATTCTAATTAACATTTCATTGTTCTTCAATTCATTTTGTTCCTTTCCTTTCAGGGGAAAAAAGGGGTTGTTATTTGGGAGCGGAGCAAAATGGGGCCACTATTATATATATTAGTGGCATTGCCTTGCACAATTGGGGCGATTGCTTTGGCGATTCTTCACATTTATAGGCATCTTTTGAATTATACTGAACCGACATACCAACGATTCATCGTCAGAATTATTTTTATGGTTCCAGTAAGCACGTTCTGTTCATTCTTTTAACGTTGAGGTGTGCTGTGTACTCGTACTTGAAAGTTATGTTACAACCTGAAAACTAGTACCTATATGTGAGCATTACCAGTCTTCTAATCCCTTAAAAGGCGTGATGAACATGTATGATGGTCGTATCTGTAGGATGTACTATTATTCTGTCATTTCTGGTTGAAGTAGTTTTTCTACAATTTGGAGACGATGACATTAATTTCTTCTGTTAATGGTGGTTTTGTGGTGAGGAAAAATTAAACGACCTACTTTGGACTAATTAAATTACCCATTGCATATGGAACGCTTTTTTTGGGTTGTTGTCTCGGTTAGTATATACTCTACCTATTGGCGATAAAAAATCCATCAATGACTTAATCAGCAAAAGGGTAGAGAAAGAAAATATTTTTTTGGCTTAATGACTTGATGCAACTTGCATTTAGTTTGCAAGTTAACTTTGACATCAAGCTAGCAAGTATTTTTTGGGTAATGTAGATTACTAAAATTGACTGTTGAACGGGCTCTAGCAACTTCCACCTTTCCGTAAAAAGCATAGATGCCCTTCTAGTGCAATTTACGTAAGTTGATTTGTCATATATCTTCTATAAGACAGTTCGAGGTATCTAGTGTTTTCTGTAATAAATGAAGTCGAGCTTTTTTTTCCGATACTTCTAGTTTCACAAGCAATATTTTATGCTACCAATTTTGGCAATTTGAGAAGTGCCAATGGATGAATATGTTATGACTTATGACCTCAGAATTTTCTCTCTATCAATCAATTGGAGAAGTGCTAATGGCTTAATATGTTATGACATTGGAATTTTCTGTCATAGTAGATATCATACATTGACAGGTTGGACGGCAGTTTAACGGGATTTTGAAGAATATTAAAGATGGGAAGCCTTTATTTGGTGGTGAAGGGCAACAAATTCATTTGCATGGAATGAGTGATAGGACTATAGGAGCAGAGCTCTCATCTCTCAACAAGAGTTAGTAACAGTTCCCATATGATTTTATTATTGAGGAATTTGTTACTAGTGTTAGAAGACAACTCATTTTACTAGCAAATGAAGCTAAATAAATAATGATGCAATTAAAGAATAGATTGGAGGGATTCAATGCAAATCATGTGCTAGATCTACAAATTAGATATGTCCTTGATACTAATGGATCTTATAAAATATACAATCTAAACTACTAAGTTAAGAGTACAGTTCTTTCTCTAAATAATCAAGTATAGCATCCTTCTTACTATTGTACACCCATTCCATCTTTTATTATCATTATAAAGGAACACAAAGGAAAATGTAAGCTGGTCAATGAGGCAAGCTTTTGACTGAGGCTCAGCACCTCTATCATTTGCATGTACAATCATAGCTCATACGAGACAAGGTAGGGAGAACTCTTTTTGTGAAAGGCCAAAGGTTCATCGAGGCCTAACTGTGATGAGTGTCCTTTGTTGACGCTATGGGCTTTGATGTGGCGTGCCTGATGTACAAGTGACAGATGCAAAAGGCATAAGATTCAAAGAAGCTAAACACAAGTTGATTATTGGGATATTTCTAATGAATTAAAGTTGTGGATTCAAATGCAACATCATTTCAGCTAATATACCATGCAAAATTAGAAGTTTATTCATGTTAGTGCCTTCAGTGCACTTTATGTATGCCTCATCGTCTCTTCACCTGTGCTTGCCCTTTTACGTGTTTCCTCAATACTGATGCTGTTATGGGTTCAGATTAAATGAAAGTGAGTGTTCAATATGTTGGTAATCTTGATCATCTCTAATTGATATTAACCAAATTTCAGTGATTTATGGTGTTGATGTGAATGTTATAGTAGTACCAATCTTTAACTGATGTTATTGGTTAGTTTTACTAAAGTTTTAATTGAGTGTTTGTGACTCTTTCTGTATATATGCTCTTTGTTTTGATATATAGGTGTTAATGCTAATTGATGTTAAATAAGCTTTAATAAAGTCTATTGTAAACATAAAGTGAATATGTGTCTTACCATCATACTTGTACTTCGTTGCAAAGTAAATATGGTACTTGTTATAATGCAAAAAATACCAAAGTTTGCTGGAATGAGCTATTAAACCTACCAATTAAGATACAGAATACGATAGGAAGCATGATTTTGATGAAATAGAATATATATGAGTCACTTTTCAAAGAACTTATTGGTCTATATACAAGCTACATTCCTTCTTCCCAAATTTTGCAAACATTAAGGATGCATGTCCATGAGACATTGGACTTCTTAGTTTATGTTAAATGGGACTTGTTTGGGAACAAGATTAATTTTGTGTAAAGTGTAATCTAGTTGTGGAATGAAAGGGGTATCATATAGGAGTTAAAAGACTGTATCAATAGAATATGGGAATCACTCCTGCATTCATTTAAAGTTAGAAGGGATTGATAGATCCCTTCTCATCTGTAGCTAACCTGTCTACTGTCCCATAGAAGGGACAATCCTTAAATTTCTATATTGAAACGTACTCCCTACCTTCTGGCATGCTCCCAACTGCAGCCTGTTCCTGAGAGGCCTTTGTATTTTCGCCCATGAAGAAGCTTGCACATTTTGAACAACAATTTTCCAAAAGTTTGTTTGTTTTCTACTTCAAATATATCATCTTATTTACCTATGAGGGACTTTGTTGATGTAAACAGAAAGGCTTTGACATTGTTCTTGCTAAATTTAAGCATAGGTTACATAAAGCTCTCCAGCTAGTTCCCCTAGAAAAACATTGATGTTGTTGTTTGAAAGGTTCTTCCTGAAGGCTATCCTTCGGATTTATTTTCGTGCATCAGCAGTCTCAATTCTAAACATATGTATTGATGTTTGAAATAATTATTATCATTATGAATCTATGATTACCATTGTCATCATCATTATTGTTACTATTAATTGAAAATAGAGTAGAGCTTCCCATTATATTTGTGCATGGGAGAGAACAATTTCATAATTGGCTAGCAAATAGAATTGTTATTAGCCAGCATTGCATCACAATCTCTACAACTGTTATCATCACTATAATCATCATCATCTGTGCAATGTTTTTTCAGTGCCTTTGTCTTCGTGTCGTGTATCTAATTAACAGGTTTATTGCATGGGCTGTAACTCTTTCTTTATTTGTTCTTCTTGGCAGGTCTACGCATTGATGTCTTTCCTGTCACTTATATTCAATGAGAGCACAATTTACTTCAATTCCATTCGAGAAATGTGAGTATGTGGTACTTGGTTATATGAAACTAAATTAGGTACACAAGTCTAATGTTTTGCAATGCTGACTATACTCTTTGTATGGAGTTGCAAAGAAGGTTTGACAATTTATATTCTACATGGCTAAGAGCATATTGCTTTATCAGCAAATGCAAAGCTAGGGTTTTTTTTCTTTTTTTTTGTTTTNAGAGAGATTTATCAGTAAGGATTGCCTACCAACTACTGCTGCATGTAAGCATTGTAGAAAAGAGAACTGAAGTTGCTTTGGCTTCATATGCAAATATAATGCTTTTGCCCTTGAAATATTTTACTCTTTTGGTGGCTTATTTTGATAAGTCATCGTGATGTATACAATCATTGTCTATAAAGTTTTATCTTGATATGTCGTAGTGACATACAATCACTGTTGATAAAGTGTTTGTAATAATCCTAAAATGGATTCTGCACTTGCGTTGATTCTTTTACTGGTCCTATATAATCTCTAGCTAGTTTATTTGAAAGGCTTGTCTTGTGTCTTGTATGGAGTGAGCTCACATGTGTCAATGGATGCTCTTTATGTGCTTTCTTATGGTTGCATTTAGATTAACACGAACATTTTTAGTTGATATGAATCATATGATACAAGCCATTTAATGTTTTAGATGAACATGAACATACTTTGTTCATATGATACAAGCCATTTAATGTTTTGGATTAACACACACATACGCAGTTGATATGATACAAGTCATTTAATTGTTTTAAATTAATACACACATATGTAGTTGATATGATACAAGCCATTTAATGTTTATATTTTAAATCTTGTTTCAGATATGAAGCTTGGGTTATATATAATTTCCTGTCGCTGTGCCTGGAATGGGTAGGTGGTCCAGGTGCTGTTGTCTTAAGTCTTACTGGACGTGTTCTAAAGCCAAATTGGTGTTTGATGACATGTTGCTTCCCTCCCATTCCACTAGACGGGTGAGTTCTATGTATGAAACTGATCATATCTGTTTCTCTTAGTTGATGCATGTTGACACAGTCCAAGTGGATTAGTGGTTAATGGACATATATCTTTTTGACTTGTTAGATTTTGGAACAATGCGGCTATTGTATTATGCATACTTTTTGCTGCTCCTCATGTCAGATAAATTACTACCCATCCCATCTAGTGGAATAGTACAGCCATTGTGTTATGCTATTTTTGAGAGTTTGTGCGCATTTATGATCTACCTTCTCTTTCTCCCCACCCCCTTTCTCATTTCATATATGAAGGTGTTATGTGCATGTACAACGAGAGACTGCTTGTGGTGGAAACTAGTTGAAACTAACTGCTATTAAATGACCTAGTGACATGGATTGATTTGTATTTTCTACTGATGAGCTTTTGAGATATACACGGGTAATATTAGAACATTGTTTCACAAAATTTTAAGAAAAACTGTTGATATAATTTGTGCATTGGAGGTATGTGACCATCAAAATTAGGATAAATGAGCATTCTTTCCCCTTCTTTAATTACTAAAGAATAGTGCTGGTCTCAAGAAGCAATCAGACAGGGAGTTATAGTTTGGGTTTTGCCTAACAGAAATGAGTTATTTTACAGTATAATTTGCTGTACAAATATAGTGTCTAAAACTTCTGCACCGATCTTTGCAAACATGAGGATATATGGTGCAATTGGTTGCCATTTGTAGTGTGACACAGGTTTTTGAAAGGTGTATGTGCTGGTTAAATATCTGATAAAACCTCTCGCAACAAAAGTACATTTATAAATTTTCCGCATCTCCCATCAAATCAGTATACTAGAGTCATATAACAATGTTTGTGATTTGATCTTGATTGACTCGTTTAAATATACACCTCAAGTACATTCCATGCCATGTGAAGCGCATATAGGAGTTTAATTGTACTCCAGTAATTTGCATCACAATGTCTGTTAATGTTTCTGAACCTGCTTATGTCAGGCGTTTTATACGGAGATGCAAGCAAGGCTGTTTGCAGTTCGTCATTCTTAAACCTATCTTGGTGGCACTTACATTCGTTTTCTATGCAAAGGGGAAATACCAGGATGGAAATTTCAGTGCAAAACAGTCATACCTATATATCACAATTATATACACAATTTCATACTCCATGGCCTTGTATGCGTTGGCCTTGTTTTATGTAGCATGCAGGGATCTGCTCAAGCCATTTAATCCAGTTCCAAAGTTCATCATCATCAAGAGTGTTGTCTTTTTGACATATTGGCAGGTAGCACTTTCAACCAGCTTGAAATCTTTTATTCATTTGAATCAATGACTACTACCTCTACTAACATACAAGAGCTTATCCCTCTAATTTACAAAGGTAAATGCTTTTATTAATTGTAACATAGGTAATTGATGTCTTCCATAAATTAACAATTGTTTTCATGTTTGTTGTTTAAAGACTGCATTTAGATTTATCAAGGTTCATTATCGTTGTTGATTATAGGCAATTTGCATAATACTCTTAATGTCGTGCTTGGTCGTACTGATGAGAGCTGGAATGGATAATATTAAGTTTCTCAGTTCTTGCAATGAAGCATTGCAGGAAGCATTACATAACCTCAAAACATAACGTTTTCTTCCCTAGAGATGAGCAACTTCCATCTGATCCATTGGCGGAAGCTGAAATGATGTTAACCTCTTGCAAAACCTTTTCTCCCCTATATACTTTTGAGGAGACAAGTTATTTGGTTCATTGACTAGTTACTATATAAAGGATTGCAATACTGTTGTTCCACTGAGGCCAACAATTGATTTTTAGTTTGTGATTCAAACAAATTAGACCCAGAAATTCCTTTTTACTTGCCATCACCATGTAGATTAGGCAGATCATCTGGTTTGCCGGCATGTTACAGCTCTGTGTTAGAATGGAGATGTGGAACAAAGTTGGGACTTAATTGCAAGATGGTGGATGCCAAAGACGGGACAATTGGAGTGAAGTCATAGGAGGTGGCAAAGGTTCTTGATAGACATGGAGTTGCCTGGGTTCATCTAACGCAATTTTTTCTTTCCGGAAGTTGAACATACTTGTATCAAATTTAAAATCGAAAGTGACATGTTTGACATTCAAAGTCCAAGTAGGGTGTACCTCATTTATGCATGCTTGACAGATCACAACTCATAAGCTTTTCGTTTTGATGTTGGATTTCTCCTGGGTTCATCAAACGCCACTGGATGGTCCTGTAATGGGAGAATTTATATGCAATACGATGCACATATCTAAGTGAGGTGTACATTTTTCATTTGTTCAAATCATGTTTTCAGCTGCTTCAAGCAGAAATCAAGGTGATATCTGACCCCATTATTATCTTTATTACGACCATCAAATCATGACCTGATTTGCACATGACCTTAATAATTGTTCTGGTCTTTAATGTGGCTGATTCTCAAGTGTTGGTGGTGCTGTTCTGAGACCACCATGTTATTATAATCGACTATATTGTCAACCGATTGTTGGATGAGAAAGGATGTAACTTTGAGAGGTTTTAGATAAAAAATTTAGGAGCTATAAGTATTGTCCTTTGCTCGCTCCTGTCAAATCATTGATGACATTGCAATTCAACTTCCTTCAGGTAACTTGTTCAATTATCAAGGATTCAAGGGCACTTATTGTTTCGTTGCTATTGTGTTTTATGGGTCTGCCTGCCTACTGCAACTCTGCGAACTGTTAATTATTTTGTTCCATCTTTGTTGATTGCAAATGTTCATGATAATATATAAGTTTGAAAATGTTCTGGTGCATCATACTGCTAGTCTTGTATTTCTATTTACACCAGAAATTGAGGACAGTGCTGATGCATAACACCAGCTTTCTCTTTTAATAATTCTTAATCGGTCATCAGGGCGTTTTGGTTTTCCTTGCTGCAAAATCTGGATATATAAAAGATGCAGAGGAGGCTGCCGAAATCCAAAACTTCATAATTTGTTTTGAGATGCTTCTTGCGGCCTTGGGTCATCTTTATGCATTTCCATACAAAGAGTATGCTGGTGCCAATATTGGCACTTCCCGTGGATTTGGAGCTAGTCTTGCGCATGCTTTGATGTTGAACGACTTCTATCATGACACTGTTCACCAGGTCCGTTCTGTTTCTTTCATCTATTTATTTTCATATTCAAGGACACATCATGAAAACAACCGTTCTACTCTTTAGGAAGGCTCCTTTAGGTGGGATACACTAGGCTCATTTGGTTTATATATTGTTTGTTGTCATGGAAACAACTACTCTATTTGTTAAGATAGAGATAACATCATACCCTTTTCAAACCCCATCTATGGATGTGGTTTTTATAGTGTGTAATGAGTGGTTCCACTTTTGTTGCAGTTTGCACCGGCTTACCATGATTATGTACTCTACAATCATAGCAATGATACGGGGGATGAAGGTGCAACAAAGTACAGGGCACGTACGTTTGTCCCAATTGGATCTGAGATGGAAAACGTTAGGAAAAACAAACACATGCTTGGATCAAACACACCACCGACCACACCCCCAAGTGCCACCCATGTACAAGAAACAGGAGCAAAACCAGAGGCAATGAACTCATCGTTGCTAGTAGATGTCTCAAATTCAGCATCGACACCATATGATTTCACACTCATTGACATGGACTTACAGGTGCCTGCTAAAGATGCTGGTGAGAAGAGGTGATTAACAAAAAGCGACCATCTGTGAAGCCATGCTCGATCTGATTATCTTCCTTTTCCTCATCTTTAGTTTTCTAGTTTCCGGGTTTGTACATGTAGCCAACAGAGTATGTTTGTAGATGGGGTTAGGGGTCTCTCCCGGTTGGAGATGTTGTACATGCGGTGGCTACACGCTTATATACAGTTGAGTTTCTTAAATACCAAACCGAATTGAGAAACTTTTTACGTACATTTATGTATACTTGTTGATTTTCCGTGCCATGGGTTATTTTTCAAACGGGGATGTTTGAAAAAGACGATATTAAACTCATGGTTTTAGAGTATCCTGTCTTGAATAGCGATTGTAACAACAGTCAACGGTTAATCTCGCATCTATACATAGTCATCAACTGGGTTGGATTCCGGTGAAAAGGGAAGTTATGGTGAGAAACCTAAGAAGAGACCTTTACCTTTGGATCAATCCTAATCGAATGTAACACTAACGAGGTGCACTGAGATGCATCGGATCAATTCCTTTCTAAAACGCAATTCAAATAGTTTAGATCTCTTCTTATGTTTCTAACCATAACTTCTCACATGATGCTTCGTCGTCGTCAACCTGTGACATTTAAAAGGTGGAAATGTTTTTATGTTTCTTGTAGTCTTGTTTGTGCAAATAATATGACCACACAAAAATAATATGCAAGTATTGTATAATATGCAAAAGCAGATCAAAATCAAAGAATTGTATTGGTGTTGTTCCAATAACATATCCTCAAAAACATTATCCTCAACACCAAAAGCATACCGAAATATAAAACACAACCTGGTTCATGTTGGGTTACATTAGTTTTTGTGCATCCTTCCTAAACTCTAAATTAAGATCACATTTTTGAAATATGTTTTTACATATTTAGTCCCTCAACTTTTAAAAGTTTTCACTTTTTACCTAAAGCGTTAAACATATTTTCATCAAGTTTTATGGCAAAGGATATTTCAAAATGTCATTGATGGTAATATTGTCGTTATGAGGTTTTATAATTGATATGATGTTACAAGAGTCGTTGACATATCTTGTCCAAGGTTTGCGAATGAAAGCTAATAATATTATTCCCTACTTCTATGGGAACATAAGTGAGAAGGGGTTCCTCGTTTGGCAAGTAGATGGAGATGCTTGAACGGAAACAAATCAAGATGGTGGATATTCGCTTGAAAAGCACTGTAGCGATATGGTGGCACAAGTTGGTAATACAACACCAAAAGGACAACGACGATCACCTATCAAATCCTAGCGGTCGAGGAAACAACTAATGACTGAACGTTTCCTACCAGAAGACTACGAAGAAATCCTTTACTCAGATGCGTTCAAGGAGCAAGGACCCTCTCCGAATACACAACTGAGTTCCTATGCCTCTCGAAGCACAATGAGATAGGAGAAACCGAGGGTCAAAAGGTGGCATGCTATGCTACATTAATTGCTATCATTGCAACCAACCAGGTCATTGATCCAATTGGGCGGTAACTGAAGAACGATAAGGCAAAGCCATCAAACCCTTATACCCGACCAACGGGGATCAATTGCTATCGTTGCAACCAACCAGGTCATTGATCCAAGGAGTAGAGAACCATTGGTCTCATGGAAGGTGAAGACTCTAAAGAAAGAGGCTAGGGCACCATGCATGTTTGCTTTTGCAACATGTGTTACTTTCACCAAAAGACAAGGGCCAATGGAAGAACCTTTTTATATCACACTGCACCATCAACGACAAGGTATCCGACCTAATTGTTGACAACAGTAGCTGTGAGAATTTGGTTTCGAGGATATCGGTTGAACACTTGAAGTTACCGCACGACTAATTACCATACTCTCTTAGATGCGTAGAAAAAGTCCTCAAATTTGAGTCACTCAAATGCGTAAGGTCTTATTTATATTTTGTTGGTAAACATTACAAGGAGACACTGCACCAAGCCACTTTTGGATTTTTTTGCGCAAATGTTCGAAACGACCTTAACCCAAGTGTGACCACACACTTCACTTGCAAACCAATGGCCAAACGGAGGTAACTAACCGTAGCTTGGGTAACATTATGAAGAGGATTTGTGGTGATAAACTTGAGTAATGATATCTAGCTTTGCCGTAAGTGGAGTTTGCTTATAATAGTGTTGTGCATGGTGCTACCGTCAAAGCCCCATTTGTTTTAGTGTACACAACAGTCTCACGATATGTTTTTAATCTAGTCAAACTACCCCAAGCTCATGGAGTTAGTATTAGCATATATTTATCATCAATTGTATTTAGCCTAAATATATGTGTTGCCTTATTTAGTTAAGAGGGTAGTTTAGCTATAAATACTACCTTTCTCCTCTTTCTTCATGGTATCAAAGTGTAAGTTGATCCATGATTGTTGATTGAAGAAAGTTTCGTGATGAGCACTAGTTTCGCGGCCAGTTTGCCTGCCAGGGGTTCGGGGCAGCGCCCTAATTGAAAATTTCTTGGATCGAGATTTCTTGTACGTATTTGATCGTCTTTGATTATTAATTGTGTTTTTCCGTCTGTCTTGCTTTGGTTATCTACTATGTTTCCTTTCATATCTGTATTGGCTGCTCGTAAAGATGACTCGCTTCAATCAATTAGTATTGTTAGGTCAAATATTATCCGAGATCATTGAGCTTAATGATCGAAGAGGTCAGTCAACTAAAATCAATATTGTGCTCAATTGTAGTTTGACTTGTATTATTAGTTAATCATATGGATAGTTCTTGTTAGTTTAGCTGTTAGTAAGAACTAATATTGTATGTAATATTTGAGAGAGAGAGAGAGAGAGAGAGAGATATTATATAAAGAGAAACATGTATTGAAAGAGTTTATCAATATACATGATGATTGTTGTTCTTAATGTTTAGTTCATTGTTATTTGATTGAAACTGGGTTTAACAATTGGATTTTTCAAATCTTCTGATAATCATTTTGATTAACGATCATTTTAATCAGGTAACAATGTCTTCTTCAATTTATGATCTACAAAAACATATTTATAACAAGATTGCAAGTTATGAATCATGACAAACCAACAACATGAAGGTTATCCAGAAGCTGTTATTGGAGAAAATTTATCTTCAACATATTTTGTTGTATCAAAAAAGAAAGTAAAAGATTTGGAGAAATAAAAGAATGTTTTGGAAAAAGAGAATCTTGATCTGAAAGAAAAGATTTCTTATTTTGAGAAAAATCGGAAAATAAAAACAACTAATTTAGAAACATATTTGTTTGATGAGAAAAGTGTTTTAGAAAAAAAAAACATTTTGAGTCCAAAGAAAAAGATATCTGAAAGTGAGAAGAATTCTGAGAAAGAAAGAAGGGTTTTAAAAAAAACAGTTTTGATGTTGAAAGAAAAGGTTTTGAAGGCAAGATTACATCTTAGTAAGACAACAATTGTTAAGCTTTCCAAACAAGTTGCTGTTTTTGAGAAGGTTGTGATAATAGAAAAAAGTAAGTTCCAGCAGGAAAGAAAAGTGTTTGAGAAGAAAAGTTTGGAGCTTAAAACGCAAAAAAGAGAAGAAATGTATTGAGGATGAAATAAAGTTTTCATGAAAAAAGGTGCAAGTGTTTTCAAAGAGTTTTTTGAAAAGAGGAAGAGTGTGGAAGAGATTTTGAAAATGAACGGAAAGTTTTTGAGGAAATCTTTAAACTTTGGAAACAAATCTGGTGACTGAGAAGAATATAAGATCTGATTTTCAAAATAAATATGTTTTATTTACTGAAGAATGAGATCAATTTGTCAATAAAATTCAAAATCTTGAAGCTTCTTCAAAAACTATTGCTAATCAAGCTCCGATTTCTACTGAAATATTTCTTTGCAAAAGAAAATATTTGAACTTGAGTTAGAGCTTGAGAATGAAAAGTCTAAATATTTTAAAGATAACAAGGTTTTATCTGACAAAGTTCAAGAACTTGAACAAACAATTTTCGAAAGTAAGCAAATTATCAAAGAGAACTTCGTTAAGTGAATCTCCTGAACAACTTAGTTCATATATTACTATTCTTTCAGCATATGATGATTCAACTGATAGTTATTATGTGTTTTCATACAAAATTGTGTCTTGTTCAGTTCATGAAATTGATCCTTTCACACCAATCAGTGTCTGTAAGAATAAATACTTTTCAAATGTTGAATCAAAAAGTTCTTCTAACATATACAAAAAATCAAATGATTTTTCAAAGTATCAAACTCATTATTCTAGTCTGTTTCATGAAGATTCTATTGCTAATTCAGATAATCATTTTAAAAAGGTTAAGATGGTTTGGATAAAGAAAACAAATACAGATGATTGTGCAGAAAATAAGTCACATAAATCTCCTGTAGTTGATACAAAGTTATTTGTTTCTAGGACCGATTTGTCTTGTTTTATTAGGTCTATCAATAAGCTAGTTAGTCTGAGCCAAGAAAAGCTATACTGTTCAGCATGTGAACAAATGATTTTGTCAATTGAAGGTATGTTAATAAATGGTATGGTACTTACAGTATACCCGATTCCCCAATTTCTAGCTTCAAAGCTAAGACTAACCTCCAACGACCCATTTGGGTACCAAAATCTTTCTAATATGTTTTGCACGAAAGTCGTGTGCATTCTTACTCAGATTATTCATACCACATGAATGGTCAATCAAAAGGTTATGCTACTTTTGAGGAAGAGTACCATATTTTTCTATAAGTGAATGAATTTTTAATTTCAAAGAACCGTGGTAGTTCACTCCGATAAACTTACTCGTGTTTGTTTCTTTTTATTTTATATCAATTTTTGAATTACCATGTGTTAAATTTTCTTGACCTAGTTATTTCCAGGTCTCATATATTTGTTGAATTTTCAGTGGAAATACACTCATTAGAAATCTATTTGTTTTTCAATGTGCGTTATTTCATATCAATGATTCAATTCTTATCTGATATATTAATTGTGACTTGTTCTTCACAATTAGACATTGTAATCATTGAATATTTGTTCGTACTTGTTCTTTGGTTATTATAAACATATACTATCATTTTTTTTATTTCTAAACAATTCAGTTTAGAACTCGGTTTTCATGTCTAGACTTGTAGATAAATCAGTCTAGAACTCAGATTTCAGTGTTTTGATTTTTGAAGATATCAGTTCAGGACTCGTACTTCAGATATTGATTTCTGAAAAATTTCAAAGTGTAATATCTTTGAATTTTAAGGATGTATTTCATAAAATCAATGTGTGAGATTAACTATACTTCAATGAGCTACCAGAAC